TCGGCCGGGCTGCGCCCCCCAGGCAGCGTGGCCACCTCTCTCCTCTCCAGCCTCTTCCCAGGGTGCTCAGCCTCCTCCTTGGTGGGGTAGCGAAGGGTCTCGTCGCTCAGCGAGGCGGCACTGGAGAAGTTGACGGGGGTGCCATCGGCCGAGTCGGTGAAGGAGTCGTCGTCCTTGAAGAGGTCCCGGGCGGTGGCCCGCAGGTGCTTGGGGACACCGGGGTGCGAGTGGGCAGGCACCAGCATGTAGACGGGCACGTGCATGGCCTTCTTGGTCTGCGGATGCAGCACCTGGCCGGAGAGCAGGGACGTCTTCACCTTGCGGAAGCGGGAGGGCATGGCAGAGTTGATGCACTCCTTCAGGATCTCGATGTCATCATCGGAGTTGGGGTCTGGGCGGTCCACCCTTCTCCTGCCCTCTAGGTACCGCTCCTCCCGCCTGTCCTCCCGCTTCTCATGAGCCACAAAGTTCAAGCTGTTCTTCTCTGGGAAGGTGGGCATCAGCTTGAGCTCCACATCTTTCTGGACATAGTGCTCGTGGAGGGGCAGGGCACTGAGGCTGGAGGCACAGGAGAAGTTCTCGTTGGGCTTCTCCACCGTGAAGTAGACCATAGAGTCCAGGTCCTGGGGCAGCTGGAAACGTTCCTTGAAGTCGGTGATCTCCATGAACTTCTTGACGTTGTTCTCCCACTGGATGTTGAACTGGCTAGTCTCCTTCTCCGGCTGGCACCCCAGCTCAAAGAGGGGCGTCTTGCTGCGGCTGGGTGGCATGGTCTGCCCCGGGCTGTCAGGCAGCTCGCTGGGACTGATGGTGCCGCTGATCATCTCACTGCAAGGGTCGCTCTGGATAGAGCTGGCGATGGACGGGCTCTCAAAGCTGCCCAAGGAGCTGACAGAGCTGCATCGGCTCATCACCAGCGGTGTCTCCTGGATGTAGTTCTCTGATGAGCTTGAGGGCGTGAGGTCCTCGTGGCGTGACGGGGACGACTCCCGCAGGAAGATCTTGTCCCGCTTCTGGAAGGGGATTGTAATGGGCTGAGAAATCCCAACTGCCGTGGCTGGGCCTGGATCCACTGTCTTCTCTTTCTCCTGCCTCCCATCCTCAGCCTCCCCATCCCCTTCTTCCATCTCGATGATCTCCAGGGAGGAGTCACTGTCGATGTCATTCTCGCTGTGGCTCTGCCCGTCCAGTACATTGTCAGCTGAGGAGAGGGAGGAGAGCGAGCTGCACCGGGAGAAGCAAATCGGAGTGTCCTCCACTGAGTACTTCTGCACCGACTCCTGCTCTGCCGTGGCTGGTGGGCGGGCAGATAGCTTTTCTGGGATCTTGCTGAGGGTCTCGGCTGTCTGCAGAAGCACAGGGGGCAGCCAGGCTTGCTTTCTGCCCAGGAGTGAGGGGTGGTGGCCAGCACTGGCCAGCGCCCCAGCACCGGTGGCTGAGCTGCTCTTGGCCAGGTTCTCGAGCAGGGGAATGTGCTGGTAGGATGGGGAGAGTTTGATCGTGTGGACCTGTGGGTCGGAGGAAAGCTTGCTGCCTGTGTCCTTCTTCCATTCAGTCTCCTTGTCCATCGCCTTGGGACTGGGGAAAGTCACTGTCTTCTTGGCCCTTTCAGGCAGGTCTTTCTGCTCCGGCTTGTCCGGCTCCCCAGGGTCTTTGGCCTTGAGTGCGGGTGGTTCAATCCGCTCTGGCTTGTTGCTGAGGATGTTCTTGAGGTCGAGCCTGCTGGGCCGCTTCTGGTACCGCTGCAGCTCCTCTCGGTAGTCGAGGAAGGAGGCCCGGGTGCAGGGCTTCATGTGCTCCTTGGTGCAGTAGCCGTCGCTGGTGCTGCCGCTGTTGAGGCTGTCGCTGGACAAGCTGGTGTAGGGCGTCTTTAGCATGCGCCGA